GGTGCCAGTTGCCGCTGTTTGACGGGCCAAGGTCCAGCTGCCTGGGTGGGGTGTCCCCACGCTGGGGACATGTGCTGGGCCCATGCCAGGCCCCCGGTGCAGCGCCAGCCGCACGTCCCGAACCAGCGGGTTGGGTGGGCTCTTGTCCCACGTGTGCCGTGCAGGTGCAGCGCTCCTGCTTCAACAGCGCGGCTGCTTCGTTAGTGCCGCTCGTTAAACACCGGGTGTGCACTGGAGCGCTGCCCGCTCCCGCCGGCGACCTTGTCCCACTGAGCAGCAGCGGGTGCCGGGCGCTGGCCTGCCCTGTGCCCCCACCGCGGGGCCAAGGGGCGCCTGGGGAGGGACGGGCAACCCCTGCTCATAAGTAGCCTGTCCCCGTGACGGGCTCTGGCGCTGCCGGCTCGGCCCCGCGGCGCCATGGCAGAGATGCTGCCGGTGTGGGTGGCCACGGGCACCACTGAGGGGACTGAGCCCCATGGGGTGGGTTAGAGTGTGGTGGGCTTGGGGCAGGCAGGGTGGGTGGTGCTGGGCACCATCCTGACCACCACAGGGGTCTTTCCAGGATGCAGTCCGGATGCTCAACACCCTGCAGACCAATGCCAGCGACCTGGAACAGGTGAAGCGGGAGCGTGGCGACCCCCAGGCCCAGCTGGAAGCCATGCAGGGCTTTTTGGAGAGGAGTGGGCTGAAGGTGAATGGGGGATCCCCGTCCCTGTCCCCCTGTCCTGTCAGCGGTGCCACCGTGCTCGGCACTGGCAGCTGCGGGGCTCTCACGGGGTGGTTGAACTCTTACAGGTCGAGGACCTGGATCGACTGAACATCATACACGTCACGGGGACGAAGGGCAAGGTGAGGCGGGTGGGTGGTGCTGCAGGGGACTGGAGGCGTGAGGGGGAGCTGCTGGCTCTGTGGCTCTGCTTGCCCCTGCCCAGGCACAGGGGGCTTTAACGCCACCGTCTCCTCAGGGCTCAGCCTGCGCCTTCACCGAGTGCATCCTCCGCAACTACGGGCTGAAGACAGGCTTTTACAGGTGGGCAGGGGGGTCAGGAGGGTTTTGGGGGGCCGGTGGTGCTGTGCCTGACCATTCCCCCTGCTCTGCAACCCCCCCAGCTCCCCTCACCTGGTGCAGGTGCGCGAGCGGATCCGCATCAATGGGCAGCCCATCAGCAAGGACCTCTTCAACAAGTACTTCTGGCTGGTCTACAACCGCCTGGAGCAGACCAAGGTAGGGGCAGCAGGGCTTATGGGGGTGGTTCCTCCCTTGGGTCCCCCCTCCTGGGGCCCTGTGCCCCCACTCTGGTTGGGGATGCCCTGTGCTGTCCCCTCACGCCCGCTCTGCCTGGCAGGACCCAGTGCACGCCAGCATGCCGGCGTATTTCCGCTTCCTCACCGTCATGGCCTTCCATGTCTTCCTGCAGGAGAAGGTAAGTGGTGGTGGTGGTGGTGGTGACCTCCAGCTTGTGATGGGTTGGGGACATCAGGGAGGGGGGAACATAGGATTCACCCCCCACTTGGGGCAGAACTTGCATGGGTCAGGCTGCTGTGGCTGTAACCAGGGGATGCTGTGCCAGGTGGATGGTTCCCCAGCAAATGGGAGGTGTGTTCAGGTGTGGGTTTGGAAGGGGTGGTGACAGGGACCTGAATCCCCAGAATCCATGGGGACTCATGGTGCTGGTGGCCCTGTGATGGCTCCAGTGTCCCCGTGTCCCCAGGTGGATCTGGCAGTGGTGGAGGTTGGCATTGGTGGCGCCTATGACTGCACTAACATCATCAGGTAGGAGCTGGTGTGGCTGAGCCTGTTCCCCAGAGCTTCCAGGCCCTGGTGTCCCCTCTGTGGTGGGGACAGTGGGGACACTGCTGTGCTGCATCCCCAGGGCACCAGTGGTGTGTGGGGTCTCCGCCCTGGGCATCGACCACACCAGCATCCTGGGAGACACCATGGAGAAGATTGCCTGGCAGAAGGGGGGCATTTTTAAGGTAGGGAGACCAGATCATCTCTCCTCGTGGTTTTGGGGTGTGCTCCCCTGAGCTCCTGTGTGTCCCTGAGCATCCCCATCCTTCACAGCCTGGTGTGCCGGCGTTCACTGTGGCGCAGCCGGAGCGGCCGCTGGCGGTGCTGAGGGAGCGAGCCCAGGAGCGGAAGGTGAGCTGGTGGCAGGGGTGTGGATTTGGGGGTACCCCAAGGCGGGGAGCTCAGCCTTCTCTCCCTGCAGTGTCCCCTCTACCTGTGCCCAGAGCTGGACGAGTTCGAGGAGGGCTGCCGGGCGC